GGATCAAACCTTTGTTAGCTTGAAAAAGCTTTACGAAGCCTATTTTCTTGATTTTGAAATTTGTTGGAAATTTTTTTCAAATTTATTTTAGATGGCTCCAAAGACAAAAAGGGGAAGAGGAAAAGAATCCTATGACGGTGCCAAATTTGTCAGTGTATGCACAAATTCGTTACAACAAATTTGCCTCTTCAAGAAAGTTTATTGTGGGGCGAAGTTTTTATCAACCTGGTGGAGCTATAGAGAATATTATTGTGGCACGTCAATGGGTGAGTTTCTGTTACTTTACTGTTGTTGTCGTCATTGTTGTGGTTAGAGATTTATGCAAATTTACCTGAAGTAGATGATGATGAAGTGTTTGTTTGAGGAAGAGGAGTTGAGTTTACTGCTGAGAGAATTAATGGGATATATGGTCTATCACCTGAGATTGATTATTTCTATTTAGAGTTCATTCCTTCTGAGGAAGAGTGGATCAGATCGTAGCATATTTGACTGATGGTCGTGGAGCCTGGAAGATTTGAAACGATCGAAAGATAAATTTTTATTCTTCCAAGCTCAATGCTACTTCAAAGACATGAAATTATTTTATTTCTACTTGCCTCATTCCTTCAAATTATTTAAGTGAAGTAACTTGAGAAAGAGCTATTTTAAATTACTGTATTCATGAAAGAAAACATATAGATGTGGATGCTCTTATTTGTGATGCTATTAATACTTCTGCGAGAACTAGTATGACTTCAGGTCTTGGATTTCCACCTTTGATATATATTATTTGTAAAGACTCTGGAGTTAAGTTTGAACATTGGGAAGAGCAGTTGAAACCACTTAAGCCAATCTTAAACCACTTAAGCCAATTGGGAAGGCTAATGTTGATATATATGGATGACCTAGAGATAGAGTTCAAGGTGCAGCTTATGCTTTTATTTATAGGTCTTCTACTTCCAGACCTTCTACTTCTATTGCTACTGAGCCTCCATCTGGATACTGGGATGCATTAAGCACCAGAATGATATGTTCCTAATGTAGTGTCATATGGAAGATATGGAAAACAAGTTTGATCATATGGCATATTTTGTTAGAATGAAGAGTTATTATGATGCTGATTATGATGAGGTAATGGTGAAATTCATGATGCAAGACCATGTAGTTGAATTTCCTACATGTCCTCGATTTACACCATTTGAGAGTCGTAAATCTATGGATGAAGATATTCCCTTTGATTCTGATGTTGATGAGGAGGAGGATGAGAATTAGATTTGTTCCCTATTCCCTAGTAGTTATGATTTTTAGATCTATCTTCTGTTGGACTATTAATGTATGATTTATTGTTCTGTACTTTTATTTTCACCGATACCTTTATTACTCTTTTGCTTAGAACTGAATATGTGTTAGAGTAGTTCTTTTACATTGCAAATTTTCAAGCTATTTCTCTTTTTAATTTAAAATGTCTACTACTCGGCACATTTTTTTTACTGTACCTGTATTGTTCTCTTGCTTAGAATTTCAAAATTTTCTCTTTCTTTATGTTTATTATAAACTTCACTTTTTAAACTAATTTAAAATTTAAGTTTAGGGGAAGAGAGAAAATTTTTGAAAAACTAAACCTTTTTCGTCCTAAGGAAGAATATATTTTCAAAAATTATTTTAATATAACCTGACAACTTGAGATAACTATGTTTTTTATTTTATAAATAATTTAGTAAATTTAAGTAAGAATTTTTAATAATAAAATTAATTTTGGATTTTAGATATTTAGTATAAGGGCATAAAATTTTGTTTTACCTATTTAAAATAAAGAAAATCGTATTTTTGAGAATGTTAAAGATCTTTGATTTTTATTTGAAAATAAAGAGTTGATATTTTATGAAAAATCTTTTTCAATTCTAATACACATTTATCAAGGAGATGTAAAACTGTTTTGAGTTTAAGAAGAGGATAGTGAAGTTTAAAATCATTAAAGACTATCTAGATATAGTAATCCTCACATGATATGTCAAGAAAAGGAAATGATTGAAAATGATCTTAAAAGAAAAAGAAAAAGAAAAAAACAAAAGAAAAAAAAAGAAAAGCAAAAATAAATAAATAAATAAATGTGAGGACAAGTTTGAGGAGATGCCTAATAAAAAAATGGCTTCACTTAAATCATCTTAAGGTAATGGACTTAATTATATTTGGTTTTTTTATTTTTTTAATCATAAATTAAATCTCATTTCTAAGAGTTGGATGAAAGCAAATGCTACATTTGAATTTATATTCAACAAAGTATTTTAAAGTTTATGCTTTTCAATGATTATCACATATTCTTTCTCTTCTACTCAATGATTGACCACCAATTAATAGGTAAGAGTGTCCATTCAAAATTGAGAGAGAGTTATATGCCATATCATAGCGGGTTACATATTAGAGATAACTATATTAAGCCCGTGCAACTTTTTATGACCCCATAAAATTTGAATGAATTTTCTTTGCATTAAATCTATCATCGAGAGGTAGGGAGACATTGTAAATGAAAATAGTGAGCAAACATTTTAAGGAAAAATTTGGTCACATTGATCAAAATTAAATAAGAATTTGAAAACCTCTATATCTCATTGGAAGAAACCCAATAAAACATCTATATGAAATCTAGTTTCTAAATCTTTCGACTGAATGCATTAATACGATTTAGTAATTATTTCTTGTTATTTTATCTTTTTAGGTTTTAATTTTAATTCATAATTCTAATTTTCATCTTATTTTATATTATTTGGATAAATAAAAAATCAAAATACTTACAATTCTTGGTATCTCATTTTTTATGAGATGATACTCTTTTTCGTCACATTATTACTTATACAATTTCATACTCTGTTTCTCATATTCTTATTTATCTTTATAAGATAATAGAGGTGGGAATCTTATTTGTATTCATAATAGTCAATAACAATCTTAATTAATGAAAGACCTTTATTTCATAAATTACTATTTTGATCATACTCTTTTGAATATTTTAAGAGATTATTACTATTATATTTTTCTAAGGAAATTAGATATTTGTAATCAATATACTATATTAGTGCATTACCTTGTAATTATAACTATCTATGTCATTTATAGTTTACATTAAGTCACTCAATCGCTAACATAAACACCTTGACCATCTAACACAAATAACTTTGATGTAATGCCCTAACACATCACTTTATATTAGCCATTAGATTTGGTTGAGATATATGAAAGTAACTTTATGTCAAGCAATGTCTGAATTGACCCCTGAAGCATATGCATATATCTATCTATCTATCTATCTATCTATATCAAAGGATGACATTTAACAATAACACTTCCCGTATGTGCTATCCATCCCAAATTTAAGCAATTTTTCGTGCCACAAACTACAGAATTTCAAGATAATATTTTTTACAAAAATATTACGATACTAGCAGGATAAAAATCAATTATTTTGGGTATCATTTGATAACTTTAGGAGAACTTATGACATTGTTTAATTTGGTTAGAGCACAGAATATATGATAACCATTGGAGTGAAGCAAATGCACACAACACCAAGATTCTCTCCATTTTAATATTTTTGCTTGAAATCTTTTGCTCGTCGTTCTTTTACTTCAGCATGAAGTAAATCTCTAACATCAAGATTTGATATAACTAAATTGTATATTTTTGATATATTTTTAATATATATTTTATATTTTTGTGCTTCAATGTCATTACAAACTTTTTAATTCATTCTTCATTACATGTAATGTATTGATTTCAAACTAAAAATTTAGGCGTTCTAACAAAAACACTAGAATTGATATTAGATTCATCATAATCCAAGTACCATGATATTTGACAGGGCAAGCATTTATGAGTACAAATAATCTTTAGTCTAACTTGCATAAGGTCAACAAAACTAACTAATATTGAATTTATTCTATAAATAGTTTTATACTGTATAAACTTGTTTGTTATTTTTTCTTTTGAGAGAACGTGTACATCACATGATTCAGCTACAGCAAAATATTTATTTGTTAGTGATATGCATTATAAAATAACATACCAGTACCAAATTCATTGAAACATAACTTGAAAACTTGCAATATCTAATCAACAACTTTAACTAAATCTTTTCCTAATAGATAACAACTTTAATCTCATGTTAATTGCCATCACGTAATAATTATATGAATAACATTAAGATCAACAAAATTTTAATAATTGCTAGATAGGAAAATACAATTGTAACAAAGCATATTAGGGCACATAATAGTAGCTTTTAAGAATTAACTGTTCAATCAACAAGCCAAAAACACAATATTCAATCACTTGGCATAATACCAATTATTTTATTTGTAACAACATTAACGTATTAAAATATAAATTTTAAAATCCAATTTTAATGCTCCACAATTAAAGCAAAAAAGCCCACATCATGCCTGTCTGAAATCATAAAAATTAAAAAAAGGAAATTATTAGAGCGATCACAAAAAGATAAAGATTTAGTAAAGATCACACAACAAGGAAGCAATAATACTAATAATAACAACTAATCTCCTAAAGAGGGTAAAACTGTTGCTTTTTATTGCACAGCTGGAGTGCTACAAGCGAAAATGAGTTGCTTCATCCAAACCCCACCGCCCAGGCACAGTTACCACTCAATTATGCCACTTCTCTCCATATCGATATAAAAAACTTTCCATGTCTTAAATCTTACTCCCTCGTTCTATCAGAAAAATAAAATTGTAATTTGGCGAGTGTTGTATGAACAAAAAATACAGGCCAGTTTTGTCTCCACGCTCTCCTTAAGATTATTTATTTATATGAAGATAACTTCAATTTCCAATTAGATTTGTGCTTTTGTAACCAACCGTACATTACATGAAGTATTAAAAAATAGAATCAGTCGAAGCCATCTTGGTGAAATAAAAATCACAAATTCAAATACAGTTATTCATAATGACAGAGCCATGTGGATAATATCAGCATGCACGCTATAAAGGAACACATACTGCAAGGCTTACTGAAACATTAGCTTGACCATTCCACAAAGGCATTTGATATATAAAAAGATGAGTTTACATACAGGTAAAAAATATACATCCTTATTTGAAAAAAAATTACATGGGAACATGTGATCGATGAAGAATTATAAAAATTGTTCTTTAAAATTCCTCGTGGATTCGCTTTTGGCCATGCACCTTCGAAGCCTTTTATGTTGTCACCATTGGTTTTCTATGACAATGGTATTCGGGGAAGTGATAATACCTGAAGCATCAAGTGATAAAAGTCATTTTGCTGAATCGTAATTATGAATTTTGCATGTGTAATAGAGCGTTCCAATGCACATTTCAAGTAACTCTTCCAACGCAAAAACAAAGAATATGCTTGCAGAGAAACTTTCCCATCACTGTTTAAGTTATGGTGATTTCATTGAAATAGTAAATACTACCAACAGAAGTACAGCTTATTCTTTAGCTTAGAACTATAATTATTCTTATTTCTTCCACATGAGTATAAATTCGTTAAATTATAGCTGTTTTTCATCGTCAACGCCATCATTAATCATATCCTAATTACATAGATTTAGCTGTAAGAATTCATAAGCATCATTCCTTTTGAATGCAACAAAAAGCTGTAAAATCCATTCTTCCTTCATTACCATTGAATGTTACAGGAGAAATTCATTATAATTTTATGCTAGTCTTTATATGTACCCTCAAATCAAATTAGCATTGATATATTTTTTTCCTTCCTAATTATATTACGTCACCTTACTTGTCTCATACATCCTTCTTAATTTTATTCGTGCCATTACCATCACTCGATGTGATTGTCGTCGACTTTCTCATTAGAGTTGCCATTACCAGTACTCCTATCCATTAACCATAATGCCTCATTATAGTTTCAAAACAATCTAGATACATCCAGATTAATCTCATAGATCACTTTTTTTAAGAGACCCAGATATTTACTGTAGCAAAAATAAAATGAAGATCTTTACTTGTCTGCATACTTTTCGTTAACTCGTCATCGTCAATATCATTAACAATATCCCAAGTATTTGGGATCTAATTTGTAAATCCTCTTTTTCCATTTATTCTTGTTTTAAGTGTTTCTAATTATCAAGACTGCTCTTTAAAAACCATTTTGAACATGCTTTATCCATTCTTCCATACTCTAATACTAATTTTGTCAAATCATCTAACAGACACATTTTCTACACTTCAATGTACAAGTTCAAACAATCAAGCTTTAGTTTTAATCATTTTATCCTCAATAGATATCCCTTTAATATTTCTTTTAAGACAATCGCTCCTTTACTTAACTTTTCTAGTGCATCCATATTAACACTCAATTTTTCTCAAATTCTAACTTCAATATCAATTACTATTTTATAGCCCAATATGCTGGTCCAAAAAACATAGTTGGTATAAGTACGCTTTTATAAACTTTGCCCCTCGATGATAACCTTTTTGTCACACAAACTGTCCAAGGCACCTTTTCATTCTAGTTATTTAATCAAACTCCATTTACTCATCTATACACCTATTTTTCTATATAAGAGATAGAGGATGCATAACTTTATCAAACCCATGCCATCAAATTTTCTAATCATATTACAGAACAATTATTAACAGCGTGCACTATAACATATACCTTCTTTTGATGCAATTAATTAAAAATTCCCTATCTTCTAAAAATTGCTATCATGATTCTTACTTTTTATTGATTTCTATGAATGTTTCACTAATTAAAACATGTCATTAACAATAATTACAAAATAAGACACATTGACATATATATCCTTTTTTAACATCTCCATAATTAATAAAAAAATACAGACTGAGTGTTGCTCTTTGATATAAACCAGAGTAATTGGAAAATCCCTAGATCTCTAATCGCTCTCTTAATTAATCTTATGTCTCAATTTCTATTTCCTTAGACCAAAGTTTATTATATAAATCACCACTAACATAATTTTTTTGCTTTACTTGGTGCCCGCTTCACAAGATTTCTAATTTTGCCAAGTGAATGCATGATCCAGACACATGGCATGTAATGAAGTGTTTTTAAGAATATGAGAATGGAAATATCAAAAGATAGAAGAAAAAAAACTTAATAATTTTAATAATGCTTTATTAAATAAACTTTCATGTTAGTATGAGTTTGTGATGAATCACTTTAGTTATAAGATTTTGTTGGATATTTTAGGTTTTGTTGATAACCTTCTTATAGTTTAACAAATACACTCACCCGTTGTGTATTTTTTTTCTTTTCCAAACTTGATTATGTGAGAAAAATAACATTTATTTAACAATGAGATGAATTTGAATGAATTTTTTTTTAATTGGAGTCTATAAAAATTTGTTTTGCAAACATTTTTTATAAGTAAATGTAATATGCATAAAATTAACTAACTATGAGTAAACTTTAAGAGAATATTGCTTTACTTTTTATTTTAAAATCATTCAGGTTACTTGGAAGATTTCTTTGTGAATTGTGCCCTTCTATTCCATTGAACTCTCATCTATTAATATTAAAGAGGCGGGATAGATGTTAAATTAGGACTGACTTAGCTTTTATGTGATTTTTTATGATAGAATTGCTAACTCTCCAACTTCCAAAATTTTCTTGCACAAGCTCTACCAAAGCACATAAATTTAATAACAAAAGAAAAATAGAAATTACCACTTGGATATCAAGATATTTTGTTCATGAAGTTTAATGTAATCTTCTTTTAACATGAGAACAAATACGAGAAAAACAACCAAAACTTCACAAAAACAACAGTCGAATAATAGCACAATAATATCACAATAACACCATAATAAAACCACAATAATATCGCGATAACTCAAAAACACAACCAAAATATCACAACAATATCATAATAATATCACAATAAGACCGCAATAACATCACAAAAACACCTGAAAGACACTATAATAATAACAATGAAAGACACTATAATAATAACAAAATAATATCATAATAACACTCAAATAACATCAGTTAAATACCACCATAGAGCCGCCATAATATCACTAAAATAACGCCATAATAACACATAAATAACACCACAATAATACCACAAAAACATCATAATAACACCGTAATAACACCATTCGAATAACACCACAAAACTGTCACAATCCCACTCAAATAACACCACAATAACAACACAATAACTCTAAAAAATACCGCAATAACACCTCAATAACACCATAAATTACTGCAATAACACATTAATAATACAACAATAACACTGCAATAACACCTCAATAACACCATAATAATACCACAGTAATGTCATAATAACACCAATATCATTAGTCGAATACCGCCACAGAGCCGATACAATACCACTCAAATAACACCTCAATAACACCATAAAAATAACACTAACACCGTAAAAATACAACAATAACACCATAATAACACCACAATAACGCCACAATAACACAACAATAACGCCACAATAATATCACAATAATAACTTAATAACATCACATATTATTGCAATAACATTATAAAATAATATCGGCATTACAAACGCAGCTAAACTCACATTCATTTTAAACTTTTCGCCATTATTTTCAGATTCCATCACCTCCATTTAAACATCTCATCATTTTTTTAGATTCCATCATTTCCATTTCAAACTTCTCACCATTTTTTTTTTATTCCATCATCAATATTTCTCGTCTGACGAGAGAGAGAGAGATTGAGAAAAAATGCACTGCAAAACTCTACCAGATGGCGTTAGAAGAAGATGGAGATTTATTCGACGCAAATGATTTTGTTTCCAAAGTAATAAGCTGGATCGGGTCAGGTCATGCATTAAAATACAACGCGTTTCATTTTTTATTCAGTGGGACTGTCACTTATAAGTAAATATTAATATTATATTGTTATTAGAACTAATAATATAATTCTTTAAATTAATGTTATTAAATTTTTATGTAATTAGAAAGTATGTAGAGGGCAGGTAAATTCTTGGGAATTGACAAAGACTAAGAATATTAAGGTTATAAGAGGTGGGTGTTTTTAATCATTTTTACTTGTTTAAATAAGTTAATAATATTTAAGACCTTTTTATGATGTGAATCATACAGTTATTATATGTAGGGGTGTAAACGAACCGAACACTAACGAACAGAGTTTGTGTTCGTGTTTGGTTCGTTCGAAATTAAGTTTATTTGAAATAAACTCATGTTCGAAATTGTTCGTGAAGTCATTGTTCGTGTTTGTTTCTTAACAAACGAGTCAAACACGAGTTGTTCGCGAATGACGAGCCAGTTTGACATCCCTAATATTAATATATTTAAATGATAAATTATATTGATTATATAGCTTATATTATATAAATGCGTAATATGTATATTAGTATATTACTAATATAATGCATTAATATATTATTGTTATTAATTTATTATAGATTATAATTTAAAAAATTTAATGTTTTAAAATATCATCAATTTTTTATATATAATTATTTTAAATTATTTTATATTTCGAACAATAATGATTCGAGCACGAACGAACGCATCAGTGCTCGTGGTTGGTTCGTTTAACTAACCGAATGAAAAAAAAATTGCTCATATTCGTCTCGTTTATTTATTGAACGAATCGAACACGAACTCATTGACGAACCGCACACGAACTGTACGCGAACAACACACGAACTGTACGCGAATAACGAGCCTCCCGTGATCCCTTGACCGAGCGCTGCCCTAGTTTGCGTCTGCCCTGATCGTCCGCATCTGATCGCCGCTTCTCGTCGCGGCTCTCTCTCCGACCGTCCTCGCTGGCTTCCGCGATTGTCTCCCGCGCCTTCCGCAACCGTCTTCCGCGACCTCCCGCGTCTTCCGAAATCCTCTCCCGCGACCGCGATTGTCTTCCACGCCTTCCGCATCTTCCGCGATCTTCTTCCGCGACCAGTTCCGCGTCTTCCTCGGTCGTCTTCCGCGATCGCCGACTTTCTTCCACGATCGCCGACTTTCTTCTGCGACCAAGCAGCCAGTTCCTGCCGAGCTCAATGACTAAGTATGGCCATGCCCGCAACTCCTCCTTCACCAGTGATGTTACTTCTAGCCACCCCTCCGCGACTGGGCCTCCATTGCCTAGCAATTCAGACAGTAATTATGTCCTCATCACCAGCCACCAACTCACCGGCCTAAATTACATCCAAT